CCGCTCTCCTTCCCTCCCCCCGCAGCTTGGATCAGACCCGCGGGGGCTAGCCCTGCCATGGCTGGACTCCCAAGATTCCAGCCATGCCTGGGGTAGCCCCCGCGGGTCGGATCCAAGCCGGATCCAAGCCGCGGGGGAAGGCGGGGAGACCCGATGCCTGTCAGGCATCCTGGGCTCGGCAGCGCGGGGCGGCAGGGACAGATTGGAGGAGTCCCGAAGGCTTCCAGGCTTTTGCCTGGAAGCCTTTGGTCCCCTCCCCACCCTGTCCCCTTCGCTGGCAGCCACCCCCCGCCGCTTTCCCCAGCCTGGATCGGGCTCCTGGGAGTCCGATCTCGGCTAGGGAAGGCAGTGCGGGGCGGCGGGGACAGGGTGGAGGGGGCCTGAAGGGCTTTTGCCTGGAAGCCTTCGGGATCCCCCACCCACCCTGTCCCTGCCAGTTTTTAGTCCATTGGAACGCAATAACCAGGTTTTAATGCGTTTCAATGGGCTTTTTAATTTCGCTTTACGATGTTTCCGTATAGCGACGTTAATCCTGGAACGGATTAACGTCGGTATACGGGGCACCACTGTAACTACAAAACATATTAACATCTTTATTTCTGACTAACAACACTAAAAGGGAAAACAAGTTTGCTTACTTGAGCCTTTTTGTCCTCTGTTGCACGAGCACGTTGGTTTGTTATTGTAGAGTTGCTTGGAGAAGATTGGTTGCTCGTACTGTATTTTTTCTTAAAACGGAAAAAACCAAAATTGTACATTTATAAAAGAAAAAGGGACAGTGAAGTTACAATCAGGTTTCTTTCAGGTTGGAAGGTAGGGGACAAGGTAGCAAAGGGTTAACTCTTCTTCCAGTAGAAGGCAAAGTTAGAGAAATGCTTCTTTTCCTTAACTTATACAACTTATTTATATTCTGCCCTTGAGCACAAAATCCCCAATGTGTCATATGATTTAAATTAAGAAATATAATCGAAACATTATCAAAACCATTTTTATTTGGCATGAGTCTCTGAAGATTTGCACCCACTATATCAAGTGGATAAAAGTTTTGCTGGAAAGTCCTCTTTCCACCCTAAGAAAAGCATTAGACTGCTGATACATGTTCCAACACCTATACCAGAAACTCTAGTGGATCATGGTTCTAGAGCCAAATTGCACTGGCAGAAGAGGCAGCCCACAAAGCTGCCATGAATTTTTTACACTTTGTTGCAAACTTTGCTAAAATGAACAAAGAGCAGATTGAACTGAGGGTAGGACTCAAAGGCTTTATAGGCCCCTTCCAAGTACATTATTCTATGAGTAAAAGAAATTTAGAATGAGGAGCCCCGATAAGAGCACAGAACGCTAGCAAAGCTAAAATTGACATCAACTGCCTAAAAGGACAATGATAAAACTTCAGATGGTTTACATATGGAAGCACCCCTATCTTTTGAATCATTTCTGTGGCTATCTTTCTACCCAGAAGTAAGTGCAACTATGGACTCTGCTAACTTAAGGAATCTTTAGGCTCTCCATTGCACTTGAGAGAGTAAAATATTTCTGCAAGAATGCAAGAAGTTCTGAGGTTAGCGTGGTTAGATACCACTAAAGAATGATGGCTCTATATCTTCAACCAAGAAAGCAAGAGCTTTTAGCTATTCCTACTTGGAAGTGAAATCTTTCTGAAGTCTCTGACTTTACATATAAGGAGGTGCTATCTGGAATTTTTGGACCACAAATTCCATAATTCTCCATTCTAGGAGTTCTATCCAAGAGAGATATCTAAATGTAACTTACACCTGAGAGCTTTGTGACCTAGTAAAGCTTAACACCACCCAAGCTTCCTATTCAACTAACAATGGGGCAGCTTTCTTTCTGGACAGGAGGCTTTGGTGGAGTCTGGCCACAAAGCCTTCAGGTGTAGGCTTGAAGCTAAGCTACATTTAGATCCCTCAGGTGGAACTTCCAGAATGGAAAACTATGCAACATTCTGAATGGCACATATCTACTTACATACAGTTTTCTTTTTATGTCTGTCACTTTGCCACTTCTTTTTCACCTTTAATACTCTTAGCTAGAAGGGGGCAGCAGACACAGTATAAAGACGAAAACGAAGGACATACACCAAGTCTGGGTTTAACTGCTTCTCTTACTTTCACTTGCACTCCTGCTATACAGTAGGCATCTGTAAGTACCACCAGCACTGCCTTCCAGAGCAACAGAGTGTGTGCCATCCCATTCATCAATCTTCTAGGCTCTAGAATTTAGGACCCTGCACTGTGCTACTTATATGTCTTCATTTTTATCTCCTACGCTTAGCCATTGTGGTCCAGGGGCCAGACAGTTTTGAGGGGTACATTCTCAAAGATAAAGAATCCCATAGAAAATCTCAAAGAAAGAGGGGCTTTCAAAAGCTCCCAACTGCTTCTCTCTCTTCCCCTCTTTAAATATATGTTGCAAATTCCAACTTCTTCCTGTTGTTTTTGGTCAAAGTAATTTAGGTTCTTGTCTTAGAAGGCTTCACAGTATTGTACACTCTAATACAAAACCACAGGAATCTTGAAAGGTATTGCCTCAAATAAATCAACGGCTCGTGCCGTTGTGCTATTTTGATCCTTCTTCTGCGTTATCTCAAATGATACTACGGAAGAAAGCTATATTCCCCTCCTCAGAATGGGCATCCAAAGCTCTTGTATAAGTCTTGCCTTCAATGAAAAAGGGATTAACTCTCGCTTCCTGCCCTCCAGCTTGTTGACAGAAAAAACATTACCTATACAATCAGTATCAGAAAAACAAAAATAAGAATTTCAACTTGTAACCTTGAATTGCGAAAGATAGAGGCATGCCAAAGGAGGGGGGAAATCCAGAGCAAACATTCTGATCTGTAGACATCAAGACCACCCACGTAAAACCAATGCCTGGCAATGGCCCTCTTGACATTTCTTGGCTCTTTTGAAAAGGGAGATGAGTTGAGACAATATCTAAATAACATTTTTACAAAACATTGCAAAATCCATTTGGCTGAGAATACTGAGATGATAAAGCCCAAATATGTACAAGATAGCCAAAACTACAGTTATCAGGAACAGACTACCTGTTTGTTGGAATGTGAAGAGTCTTTGTGTTTCATGCTATCAAACCCAGACAATCTGGGACGTCGACTCATCTGGAGTGCAACCAAGTCCTTCATGATAGAATTTAAAGCCTCCTGTTCATCTGTAACAGAAAAGTGAAGAATTCTTGTGAGTGGCCAAGCTTTTCTTGATGTGGGAGGGGTGTTGCTACTTCCTTTAAAAAAAAGCGTGTTTGCTTGCTCACTCTCTCACACACAACTCTTATAGGTTTTTAATTCTCTGCAAATAAAATGAAAAGCTATATGCTCCAACACTTGTACTTTCAGAAATACAAAACTAACAGTGTTTCCTGATGCTGCGCAAGACTATTTTCAGTTTTTGCTGTTTCTATCCTGCCCAAAATAGTGGTAATTCCTGCTTCTTCCTCTTTAGTATTACGAAGATCTGTCTGCTCCTATCTGCACTTCCTGTAAAGATCGTTATTTTCCTCTTTATCGTGCTTTTTCTTGCAATTTCTCTGCTGAAATCCTCACCATTTTATCAATTTGGAAGGCATCAAAACAATTTTTAAATCCACATTCAGCACCCCACTCCACTTTTCAGAACTTTTTTGCTTTTAAAGCTTTTTGCTTCTCCATGATCAACATATTTCTCCTTACTTTATTCTGTTCTTCTATTCGCAGTCTTCTATGTCAATTTAATATAACCTGTAAAGATCTCCTAGACCAGAACACTGTCTCCTTTTTTGAACCTCATAGTATTAAGGTTCATAGCCCCCCTTCTGTTCACCTGACCAAGCTCTTTAACCCTGAAGAAGAAATCCACATCTTTGATCTACATAGCATCTAGTAAAGAGATAGCCACACGTACTACATTTTGGTTTAGGACTCTTCTCTATAGCAGGGGTCATCAACCCCCAGTCTGTGGCCCAGTGCTGGTCCATAGGCTTGCTGGAACTGGGCCACGGATACGGATCTCCACCAACACCACCCGCACACATGGGGGGGCATCACGCTCATGTAGGGGGTACGAGCGTGACACGCCCACCACATGAGCGCGGGGGTGCCCCCACCCGCCCCGTGCATGGAGCTTGCTCCCCCCAACCGGTCCTCCATAAACGTGGAGACCACTGCTCTATAGGAGCACACCCAGTATAAAGTTGTACAGTTCCTAAATGATTGCACTGGTATTCTTTTGCTTCATTAAGAGTCTGCAAATCTGGTAGCCTGCTAACATCTCAAGCACTGCTAAAGAATACAGAATACAGCTAATACAGCTATAGTGACCTTTGAGGGACTCCTGAATCCCTTCAAGAAGAATGTGTCTGTAATCCTAGAACTTCTCAGCTGGGAATACTTTCCACTGAACACATCATGACTTATTTCTGAGTAATGTGAATAGTGATTAATTAATAAAATGTCATCATAGTGATGGCAACTTATAGCGACACTTTCCAGGATTTTCTAGGTATAGAGTACCTAATTTCCCATTCTCTTTCTTTGGGAACATTCTGGGACTGTGCAGCTTGCCTAATGCCTCAAATGCTGTTTCTTCTCCACAGGATGCATTTTATTTATATTAAATTGATCTGTGTCACAAATTAAACAAAAACATTAGGTTTTTCCCCCTCCTACAAGGCACAGTGGGAAACTTAAATACATACCCCTGGTTCTGCACCTGGGCATTCAAATGCACTGTGCTACTCAGCCAGTTAAACATGTACAGTAGGAATGGGAAATTCTCCCCTGCCCAGGAGATATATGCCGTGCCAGATAGGGTTCTGCAAGGCAGCACAATTTCCTTAGGAGCAAAGGAGCTGTCCAACAAATTACTGAAAATATACTGAAAAGTATGCACCTATTTTCTGTTCATCAAAAATATGAATGGTATAACAACAACAATCTTAGAACTGCAGAGCTGGAAGGGACCTAATGCATTATCGAGTCCAGTCCCAGTCAAGAAGGCACAATGGGGAACTGAACTCACAACTAGAGATGGGGACGTCTTACCACAAAGCATGAAGTTGCCCCATGAAGCAATTAATAATGAATATATTCATCGATTCATAGGTTTTTGGTTAAAACTTATATGTGTTACATAATACTAGTCAATGTTTTTATAATTTTGACTGTGCCTGGAGTTTTTAAATAAATAAATAAATAAATA